CACTGAAACAAGAGATGCTCACGATCAGGCTGAGCCACATTTTTGCCTGTTTGAATCAAGTCATCCGCATTCCCGGGAGTTGGCTCACGTAGGGACCAACACGATTATTGCATAAATCGTGCACGTGAAAATGAGTGTGAACGTTATGTCCACCTATATGCGTAAACTTAAGGTGCATAACTCAAAGTGACTGTTTACCAGGATTCTACGTTTATCTATTAGTCGTTGTCGGTAAAGTTTACAAAATATTACGTTTGTATTATCATTACAACTATTATCACTGATGGTATATGTTCCTTCCTTATTTGAAATGATATCAGTTTGAAAAGTTGTTGGAATCATTCGTCAATTTTTCGGATCTTATCAGCTGGAGGGTACAGGTTGGTTTTGTTGTTGTTGTTGTTAATGGTAGTAGTGTGTTACTGGTAGTTACTGGTAGTCTGCCGCATTTAGATTAAAAAGCGACCGCTTTGTTACTGTTTGTGACCATCACAGTTCGACGAACTCAAGTTGGAATTACGTCCTGAAGGCGTGAAATTTACAATTAATATGTAAGCGTAGCCCCAAATCCTGACACGAATAGCGCCATAGCGCCAAACATAACTCTTTGAAGTGATTGATTACCGAAACTTGAATTGGGCATAGTTTTCTAAGTTTTTCTATCTGTTTTCAGTTATGAATGTTAAATAGGTTGTTTATTAATCGTTTTTTGTTTCTAGAAAACTGTTCCTGAAGGATCTACAAGCAACAATTTTTGTTGTGAGAGCCCGATATGCACCCTACATCCAGCAATTCAGAAATATATTGTGACCCTTGCTCTTTGCTTCAATCGACCCATTCTCCACGTCATGCAACTGTACCATCAAATCTCTACCCCTCTTCTGAGACTGTTCAATGGAAGGACGTCAAAAACGGCGACAGTCAACCGGGCACCAGTGCTGATCAAAGCGAAGATGTCCACTATCGACAGCTTTGACAATAAAATGTTGACTGACGGGCGTAATGGTTCGTAAAGTTAGAACGCTTTCGTAACAGACAGTTTGTTTGTGTGCTTGTATGTGCATGGAACGAAAGTCAAACGACCGAAGGACCCTGATCAATAATTGCTGAATTTAATCCTATGTTTCCCACGCCAAAGGATTCATGGTTGATAAAATTCTAAGTCACTGAAGAGTAGGTAAATTTGGTGCATGAAACGAGTCCAATCTTGTCGCATAACATCCATACTGCTGTCGACCACCACCATTGTTAGGCAAACTACGAACTGTTGGAAGTATTTTTGATTCAGACCGGTTCCCAAGAAACGGACACTGTGATCCGTGAATTGCATTTTCCAGTTGTGTGGTTTCTAAAGAAAAACGTTTAATGCCGATCGTCACGAGGTTGGGATCGTTGATAAGGGGCGATTTTCTCATCGTAAACGATGTAATGCTTAGGAGAGAATAAGGATTCTTGCGTACACCCGCACAGCTGACCTACACCCGAATCTGCTCAGCTCAGGGCGATGTGTTGTTGTGTTGAGTCATGAATAGTTAGCGGTGGCGGTCGAGTGGTAAGGTTACCCGAAACAATTACCCGTGTATTTTGAGTTAGAACCCGCCATTGCCGCCCATCTTCCCATCATCTGTATTTCCCCAGGCAACCGTTGTGTAGCCGTAACCCCCTTCCTGAAAGTTCACTGTACGTTTCTATCAACACTGAAAGAAACATTAAGTAAAACAAATAATTTTTCTTTAAAATTGTAATTTTATTTTAAAATTGAATTTCATTACAGGTCCGTGCACAGGCAACTGTTGATACGTAAGCGATAGACCATCACAGATGGCATAAAATCTCAATCGCCCTGACCCACCCTGTGAATGCTGCTTAAGCAGCTCTGGGCTGAAGTAGCAGAGTATGTATTGGATTGCAATGGTGTCTTGAATAGGACTGGCAAGAGTAGATTTTCTTTTCCGTTATTTGACATTGATAAAAAATTATTTTATTGGAAACATTTCATTGAACAATTTCACAATTCAAACATATCCTTTGCAACTGATAAATTCTAAGATGCAAATTTGTACAATTTTCTCTTATCGTTTCCTTTTTCGTAACATTAAACTAATCATGTTAATAGTAACGATGAAACATCTAGATTTTCATAAAGACTTCCGAATCAACTCTTGTCCAACTCAGTTTCATGAAATGTATTTGCTGTTTGCTGATATTGCAATCCGGATTGTTCGAATAACGCTGTCAAAGGATATTATCGTTCAACTCGCGATATGTGAACGGTATATTTTGCTTAAACTCTACTGCGCTGCACTTTTATACCGGTAATCTCAAATTGTTACGGTCATGTGTTTTGTAAAGCCTCTTCAAGTGATCGATCGACAGTAGCGTTCGGCGCCTGAAAATGATTCAAAACGGAGTCTATGTGTTAGGGGAGACTATACACTTCTGAAACTATTTGTCAAACGCTTGGTGTGATGTTACTTGAAGTGATTGAGAAACAAATGTTCCGATAAGGTTTCTCAGTTGGAAAATACGAATACAAAACTTGTGGGTAACATAGTTCCTTCTTTGCAAACGTCATTATAATTGTGGTTCCGCAGCTGCGTGAGGAGATTTGATGCTGTACAGCACTCACACTACGGCGTCATTTGGACAAGTCATTTGGATACTTGCTAAAGGGTGTTTGGTAATTAGTGTGGTTCAATCAGACGTTATAAAGCTTCACATGGGTTGGCGACGTTTTACCGTAGACAGAGCTTTATAATTCAACCTGTTTCACTCGGGACAACGTGTTGTCAGACAGACTGGATACTCAGTAAGCTCGCCATAATCTTCAATGTCTCCCATGTCATTGGAACATTACTACGTTTGTCAAAAGCTGTGTTTGTTAAGTTCAAACCGAATTAGTCTCAGTTTAGGTTTATGAGGCAGTATTATTTTAAGTCAGAATATGAAAACCATTTTAAAAGCTTTATCATGTTCTAAGCTTCTGATGCGACAATGCGATGCTGGGCATTCATTGGTTGATACTGCCGCTACGTTAAACTCAAACGGATAACATAATATAAAACAATAACAAAAGCTACACGCGGAAATAACTGGTTATACACAGAGCAGATGAACCGTGAGTTGAAAAGCTAGGGAGCATTGGACAGCTGTTTCTACCTGCTTGAGTCTCTTTGGCAGTGCGATTCCATCGATCCAACTGGGGATCGAACCCCAGACCTCAGCAATCGAACACAAACATTCTACCCACTCGGCCACCGGACAGCTGACCAGACCGTTTTTCATTTTTCATTACCATGATACAGTACAATCTATGTTTAATAGCTTGTTGTTGGATCATCTCTGCACTAGCCTCTAGGCTTTTGACTTGGTTGGAATCAGACAGCTTGATACATGACAGTAGTGGAGGATTTAATTTTATATATTGTAGGTAGTTTGCCTGTATTTTACCCCTGTAGTTCCAGGTTTGGTTCTCATTTAGGTCGATGGGTTCACTCTGCTCGTGAGACCCTACTAGAGTGAAACAGTTGTCCAGTGCTTTCTAACATTTCAGCTCACGCTTCATCTTCTATGCACTAAACAAAGATTTGATGCTGTGGTGGCGGTGATGGAAAAGTGGTTAGGTCACCGAATTGTAACCTAGGAGTCCCGGGGTTCGAACCGCCGCACCCCTGCCTGTGTTCCCCCCAGTTCTGCATTTTACTAGGCAGCCTTTTTATGGCCGCGGTCCGCTTCCTGAAATTTTACTTTACATTTGTATATTTAATAAATAAAAAAGGAAGTAAAAAGGCATTAAAAAAGTTAACCAAACAATTAAAATAAATCCACCCCCACTATCATGTTACTTATATGTTTTTCGTACACATGACTTGTGATGGTCTACCCAAGGCAAACTAGCTCGGAGTTCAGTTTTAGTAGAACTGTAAATACTCGTAGTCCTCAACTTACTGTCGTGTTTTCTGCATTTTGCATACTAAAGTCTTTTAGCTTTTCGAACGATACAACTTGCTCGAAGTTATTTTATCCTTGACTCGAAATAATCACAACGATCGCAATGAACCAACGAAACTAATGGATGTTATCGTGATAAGCAGTAAACACCAGTCTATTGTATAACACCCAATTAATATCAATGGATAAGATCTAATGTGATCTATCTTGGGCATTTTGATCATTACATTTATCATGCCACTCTCCGTTTCTCATGG